AAGACAAGGACATGAGTAGCTTCTGGAAAGTCAATGCCATTAGTGAAAAAACTTGGAGGACTGAGTAGCTTGGAATGGTGTTCAAAGTCCTTGTGAAAAACCTCACAATCCATGCATGCGGCCAAGGATAGATTGGGCACTAAATGTAATGGGATATTCATTTAGTGAAAATCCATCTGAAATAGTTTGGGACCGGATGTAAGAGGATTACACCACCTTATATATTCAGTTTCCACAATCAGTAAACTTCCCAGTTTACTGCATATCAAATTCCTTGTTCCTTATTCCTTAGTCGTCAAAGAGGTCTATTTTTAAATAGGTCAAAATCCTTCATACATACTCCCTCCGTCCCATTTATATTGTCCCGGAAGAGGGTGGCACGGTTATTAAGAAAAGTGGGTTTGTGTGGTTGATATTAATTGATAAAGTAAGAATAAAGTATGAATGATTTAGAGCCACACAAACTTTGCCAAATATGGTATGGGACAATATAAGTGGGACTTCCCGAAAAGGTAAAACGGGACAAAATAAATGGGACGGAGGGAGTATGTGTTTAGTCAGTACTTAAAGTCCAACAATGTTTTAAGACCATATTTCTTTATTGTGTGTTAAATATAAAAGCAGTAACCTCAATCAGCAGTCAGCTCCTAAAAGTTTGGCAGCCTGCTCCTCGTAAGTTTGGTAGCCTGCTCCTTAAAGTTCAATAGCCTGCTCCTTGAGATAACTGATTTTGACTAGCACATATGCACCTTGTTTAAACCAACTCTCTCCATGTTTTGACCCTTTTCCCTTAAAGTTTGGGAAAAGGATCAGATAGGCCATCGAACTTACATAAAAAGGTCAAATAAGCCCTTATATAGGAGGCTTTGTCCGGCCGTCGCCATTTGGGGCGGTTCTCGGTGGCATTTTTTGATGAAATTTTTTGAGAATCTTATTCATTTAGTCTATTTTACTCATACCAAATTTCAGCTAAAACTTCAATCGTTAAGGCATTCAAATGAATTCTTGAAGATAACTGCGCAATTATCTTCCAAATTAGTCTTTTTAAAAAAATTGGGGCCCCGGAAATTGGGAGGCCCTGTTCTGTAGAACATGTTGAACATGTGAAACGCCGGCTCTGCCTTTTAGGCCAGGAACTACTAAAAACAAAAGCTAGGTCCTTTTAGTTTAGAGAGATTTTTTTTAATAGCAAAAATAAAAGTTTTATTAAAATATAGAAGGAAGTACAACCGCTAATGAAGATAAAAGTTTAAAGAAACACATAAAATTATTGAAGTAACACACTTTAGTTTAGAGAGATTTTGATCATGTTTTGCTTGTTTAAAAATCCCATATGTAGGATAAAGCACCCCTATTAATGAGGGCATAAGAGTTCTTTATGTTTTAATTGCTTAGCCGCACTAATTGTATTGTTTGTGAACTATTCGGCAAGACTGCTTGATTAATATTTATGCACATGTTCATCATTAAACGCATTTCTTACGTGCCTATTCTTTATGTTTCACATACGTGGAGTTGAAGTGCTTGACTGCTTTATTAATATTTATATGGGATTCAGGATTGACTGAGAGCTACATGAATCTTGATAGTATCATATTAATGGTGTGTGTGTATATATATATAGAGAGTATTCTTCCGGTCAGGAATTTCCTGACCGGAGCGCCGTCCGGCCTCCTCCTTTTGGGGGCCTTCCTGGTGGCATTTTTTGCTCAAATTTTTTGTGTATGTTCCTCATCAAGTCTAGTTCATCCATACCAAATTTCAGCAAAAACATCAATCGGAAAGACCGTCAAATGATTTTTGCAAGTTCATTCATACCATATTGGTATGGATGAACTAGACTTGATGAGGAACATACACAAAAAAAATTGAGCAAAAAATGCCACCGGGAAGGCCCCCAAAAGAAGGAGGCCGGACGGGGGTCCGGTCAGGAAATTCCGGACAAGAATTTTCCTCTCTCTCTCTCTCTCTATATATATATATATATATATATATATATATGAATTTTATTCATGTCCGGAATTCCGGACAGGAACCGCCGTCCGGACGGCGGCGTTTGGCCGCCTTCCCGGTGATATTTTTTGATGAAATTTTTATGAAATGTTCTCCATCAAATCTAGTTTATCCACAAAAAAATTCAGCCAAAAACTCAATCGGGAAGGTCGTCAAATGATTTTTGCAAGTTAACTCGTCCGGAATATGTATTTTCCGGACCAGTTAACTTGAAAAAATCATTTGACGACCTTCCCGAATGAGTTTTTGGCTGAATTTTTTTGTGGATAAACTAGACTTGATGAAGAACATGTCATAATAATTTCATCGAAAAATTCCACCCGGAAGGCGGCCAAACGCCGCCGTCCGGACGGCGGTTCCGGTCAGGAATTCCTGACCGGAAGAGTACTCATATATATATATATATATATATATATATAGAATAGAGATCAAATACAAACCATGCTTAATTTACAAAGTACAAACTTATCTTGGTCATCCGATGAGTTGATCTAAAGGATATAAAGGCAAGGTGACATTTTTGTAATAAAACCTAACTTTTCTAGGGTGCAACTCATTGAACGTTAATGTGCAACTGCTATTTTATGACTATATAATATGCAATACTTTGAACCTCAATATGCAATGCAAATAACGTCAAGGTGCATCGTACAAATATTTGCACAATAAGCACACTTTGTACTTGATCTTTCCCCTATATATATATATATATATATATATATATAGAGAGAGAGAGAGAGAGAGAGAGAGAGAGAGAGAGCGGTTCCAATGAGAACTATGCTTAACGTGAGAACGTGAGAACCATGCACTTTTAACACATCTCGGTGCACTATGAGGCTCATCTATTGCACTTTTTAAATTTTGATTAAAACGTGCTAATATCAAATAAATGTGGTGACAGATTTCTAAATATTTTGTCAACATGAAAATGTGCAACATATACATGATATAGTGCATCACATCTGCTTAAAAGTGGAGTTCTCACATTCTCACGTTAAGCATGGTTCTCATTTGAACCTATATATATATATATATATATATATATATATATATATATATATATATATATATATATATATATATATATATATATATCTTCACCTACTTGAATCTTAATGGGATGAGATACGCTTGCTTACATTTTAATCAATTTATTTGGGGAAAAGGGGCAAATAAGGACACGTACTAACAAAAAAAAGGTCAAATAAGGCCTTATTTATGAGACTCTGGCCGGCCTTCGCCATTTGGGGTGGTTCTCGGTGGAATTTTTTGATGAAATTTTTTGAACATTTTATTCATTAAGCTTAGTTTACTCATACCAAATTTCAGCTAACAGGTCAATCGGAAAGTCATTCAAATGAATTCTTGAAGATAAATGCGCTTTTAACTAGTTTACTGAACATATTATTCATTAAGTCTAGTTTACTCATTTATTTGCGACTACTTTAGCATTATGTACAATCATGTTTTCAGATTGTATGTTCTTTGGATAATTTACACGTTTTCAGAGGAATCTATTTTAATTACATGTATAAAGTACAATATTGGGCATTTATCCTATCGCGCAACGCGCGTCTAAAAAACTAGTATTGAAATAATCTCGAACTTATACCTCCATTTTAGGAGTACAGTTGCATATAAAAAACCACAAGGTATTTCGGTATTTGATACTTGATACTACCTCAGTCTCAAAAAGATTGGTCATTTTGAATTTTCTTAGTCAATGTTCTTAAAATTTAGACAATTATTTTAGATAATCTCTCCGTCCCAAAAAGATTGGTCAATTGTGTTAAAGCTTAGACAATGATTTTGGGTATTATATTTGTGTGTAATTTATAAATTATATACTTTTATGAAAGATTTTTTTTAATAAAGAATATGCTCATATATTTTCATATTTTAAATAATTTTGTATTGAAAAATAATATTCGTCAAACTTAACCATCATTGACCACGAAAAGTCAATTTGGTCAATCTTTTTGGGACCGAGGGGTATAATATTTGTGAGTAATTTATAAATTTTACACTTTTATGAAAGATCTTTAATAAAAAAAATATGTTCATATAGTTTTCATATTTTAAATAAATATGTATTAAAAAAATTCTTTAGTCAAAATTGGTCATCATTGACCAAGAAAAAATAACTTGGTCAATCTTTTTGGAACGGAGGGAGTATTTAATTACATTAACATGGACGGATCTGGCTTAGGGCTAGGGAGGGCCCATGCCCTAAAAAAAGTTAACTAGTATATAGAGACTAGAGAGAGTACCATTCGTGTCAAGCGCGCCAAATTGGGATATCTGTGCGGTCAAGTCCATTTAAATTTTAAAGTGCTTTCGGGTAGATTTTTTTGATAAACTTATGTGAGCATGTTCTCCAGGAACTTTAAATTATGTCTATCATGTTTCAGCTTAAAGCTCAATCGGGAAGTTGGTTAGATAAATTATTGAAAAAACATTGCGCTTTTATATATATTCAAATCGCAGTGTTTTTCAGTAATTTATTTAACCGACTTCCCTATTGAATTTTAAGGTGAAATTTTGTGGACTTAAATCCAAACTTCATATTGAACATTCTCACAAATTTATCAAAAATTTCCACCCAAAAGAACCTCAAATAGGCTTCTCCGTACGACATTCCGGTCAGACGCACCAGAGGTGAACTTCCCCTATATATTTTCTCGATTTGTGCTTGACATCCGATAAAATTGGAGCTGTTCTGTGTCTATGTCTTACGCCGGTCTCAAAAATGAAAAACATGTCAATATAGAGCAACATATTGTGATTTGAAAATTAACTAGTTTTGATTTGTTGCAATAGATGTTATTTTACACTTGAAATAAATTTTATTAAATAGACATTATTTTATTACATTTTTTTGTTGCAATAGACGTCATTCCATTAAATTTTGGCCCCCTCCATGCCAATGCTACAAATATACGGAATATTTGTTTATATGGTTTCTGTTTACCAAAAAAGGTCTTAGAGAACGAAATACGCCATGCATTGTGCATATAGACGAAGAACCACATTGCAACGTTCGTCAAGGAAGCAACGCTACGCCTTTAATTAGGTTCTTAGCTTAGCTTCCTTCCCCTTTTCCTCTTTTGTGTTTTTACATTTTCCTGATCCCTACCCGGCATAAAAAATCAATAAGAGTTCTAACAATAAAACCAGATCAGTCTAAACCATCATCATTATCATCAGAAAATCACATTCTCTATTCAGCATTAACGAAGAAAGATGAATTTTCTGAAGGTTATTGGTGTGAATTGAATATTCAATTCGAATCTCGTCATAACCGCCCCCTCAATATACATCAGAAACAACAAAAACCATTTAAGAGATCAAAAGAAAGAAGACAGAATAAGAGCAATGGAGGAGCGGCAAACTGACATCAGGGTTCCACTCATCTCATTCATGTTCTTCATCTTGGTAACCGCAGGAGGGGTGTTTCTTGGCATCTACGTTTTCTTTCCGGCGGAATCTCAACCGTGGTTTCTCTACGTCGCCTTCTCGCTGATTGGGTCTCCATGGGTGTTTTGGCTGGTCATGTATATATACACATGCTTCAAGCGGTGTGCTGATCGGAGAAACCTCATCAACCGTCAGATTTCCCGGCAGAGCTCTTTACCTGCCGCCACCGCTGCGCCAGAAATTTCCCAAAACTGAAAACTGTGAGAATAGCAACGACCACCCTACGGAAGCCTATGATGTGATCCTAAGAGCCTGCATTATGTCCTCTGTGTTTATTGTTTATTTTTCTTCTAATTGTTCTTTCTTATTGAGGATATAATTGTATACTATGAGATGGGTAAAGAATATTTCATCTTCTTTATAAATTCACAGTATGTACGCATTGAGAATTTTTACCATTATGCTGATGCAAACTGTAAAAGCAATCTTTCTCAGCTACAGCAGGCAGCCTGGACCTGTTCAACATCAGGCCTGATAAAAAAAATCTTGTGTAAGTAAATTTTTACTATAAAATGAACATAATTGAGGTTTTTCAGTAAGTTCAAATTTTGGTAGCTTTGACTGTGCACATGGCAAGTGAGGATGGGGCCCTGATGCTGATAATCTATGCAATATAGTGGTACAACCGTACAGAACATAACTTTAGGTTTAATTTAGACAGGAGCTGGGAGACTGTCTGGGGGGCTTGTTTAGCTGTTATGACTGCAGGATTTTCTGAAGGGAAAGTGTTGGGGTTGCTTAGCTGATATGCTGCTGGATTTTCTGACGAGAAAGTGTGGTAAAATTCTTTTGAACTAAATAAGTAAGTGCTGTTCGACAACTACTCCCTATGTTGTTTGCTTGGCAGCTGAAATGTTTAATCATGAAAAAATTAAGTTTAGGGATACTTTTTAGGTTGAATTTGCTGTTTTTTCATATAAAATTTTCTTCACTTCAATTTTTTTTTAACAGTTAAGCATATCATATAAGCCATATCAGGCATAATTTTATCAAATTCAGCAGGTTGAGTCTCACCAAACGGGTTCCAAGTCAATAACCTTTTGATGTTGGTTATTTGATGTATTCTGTTGAAGGTATTATGTCACCATGTCACCAGTAAGATGGCAAATTCAATGCACCAAAATTCACAATGACTGAAAGTCTCTCTAACTCCTTGTAGATGTCCCCAGCTTGGTGGTGGGATTTGTCATTACACACAAACTGAGACAAACACCCATTCACTTCGATCCAACTGCACCCAGACTCCTTTCTGAACCGAAGTTGTTTCAGTTCAGTTCTGACCTTTGACACACTTTTCCACATCCCTCTTGCAGCATACGTGTTCGATAAAAGAAGAGACAGAGAAGGAGAAACTGTTCCAAACTCCTTCGCCACAAAATCACCCAACTTGTAATCATCATACACTCTGCAACTACTTAATAAGGTTTCCCGAGCATACATTGGGACAACATTGGCAGGCAGTTGTTTAACAAACTCAACCGCTTCTGTTAAAGAACCTGATCTGCCAAGAAGATCAACCATGTATACATAATGTTCTTGTTTGGGCTCCAAATTCCATCTCTTTTGCATTGAGTAGAAATATTCCCAGCCTTTATGAACCATCCCAGAATGAGCACAAGCAGCTAGGAGTCCCATGAACGTTATGTGGTCCGGTTCAAACCCATCTTGGACCATTACGTCAAAAAGAGCAAGAGCTTCCATGGCAGAACCGTGGTGTGCTTGGGCCACAATCATGGCATTCCATGCAGCGAGGTCTCGCTTTTTCATATTTTGGAACACAAGTGATGCCACATCTAAAAATCCACACCTAGAGTACATTGAGATCAATGAGCTCAGTGTCATGATATCTTTTTCAAGACCATTTTTTATAACACTGGCGTGAATTGCTCGTCCACAACCATGGATAGCAAGAAGTCCACATGTTGATAATACACTTGGGAAGGTTCCCTTGTTGGGCTTAATCCCATCTTGTAGCATCTTGACATAATACAACAGAGCTTCCTCGTTTTGGAATCCAGAAATTATTGTGTTCCAAGAGGTTACATCTTTCTTAGGCATCTCCGTGAAAAATCTTGTGGCGGCATTTGGATCGCCTAGTTGGAGATAGGCAGATAGGATCAAATTCCATGAGACTACATCCCTTTGTGGCATCTTGTTGAAAAGATCAAGGGCCTCTTGAAGCATTCCGTTTTGGGAATAGCCGTTGATCATTGAGTTCCAGGCTATTGTGTCCCGATATGGCATTTCCGTAAATAATTCATGAGCTTCCCGAATCTGATTATTATCCAGATAACCCCTTATCATTGCTGTCCGTGCCACTATATCCTTCTCAGGCATGGCATTGAAAAAGGTCCTAGCTTGTTTCAACTCCCCTGCTCTTAACAAGCAAGAAATCATACTAGTCCATGAAACAACATCTCGGGTTCCCATCTTCATAAACAACCTAAAAGAACCTTCTAGATTCCCCACGTCAGAATAACCTGCTAACATCGTGTTACAAAGTGACACAGTTTTCATAGGTACTTTGTTAAACAGCCTCTCTGCTTCACTCAAGTTTCGACTTTGAAAGTATCCATCAATCATGATTCTCCAGGATGTTGTGTTCTTAATTGGCATTTTATCAAACAGTGCTCGGCCTTCTTCTATTCTTCCATTGTTGACATACCCTGAAATCATCGAATTCCAACAGATGATATTCTTTTCAGCTACTGAATCAAACAAAAGTTTAGCTTCGTCTAGCCTTCCGTTCCTCGCGTACCCACTTAGCATGGCTGTCCAAGACACAACATTCCTGCCTGGCATAGAATCAAAAAGCTCCCGAGCTTCTTGGATCATCCCATTCCTGGTATACCCAGAAAGCATGCAGTTCCAAGTTACAACATTTCTGTTGGGTAATTCGTCAAACAGTTTACGTGCGGAGCAGACATCGCCTTCCCTAATATAACTGGATATTCTTGAGTTCAAATTGAACAACACGCTTGAACTATAACTTAAATTACGATAAAGAACGACAACTTTTGCAAACTTGAGATGCACGAATGCAATTAACATAAAGTCGCGATACATGAGAACGTCTCAAATGGGCTACTTTTGATTAGGGCAAGTCAAAATCCCTTGCACTGGTCCAACTACGAAATTATCCAACTTCTCAATTGTAGTGCAAAATATTGTAGTCAACTAGACAGAATTGGTCTAAAAGAGAACAGGAGTGTTAACCGTTAAGAGCATCTCCAATGCTACAATGTGCACGGTGCACATGTGGCATGAGAGAGATAGACACAAAAGATTAATTTTATGACATTTCTCTCTCCGTCTTTCCACGGTCCTATGTGTTTTTGGTAAGTTTTTCTCTGCAATGTCAATCACAATGTCTACATCTAGACATTGTGCTTGACATTGTAGAGAAAAATTTACCAAAAAGATATAAGATCCTTCAAATAAGGAGAGAGATATTTTATTTATCGTTTTTTGATTGGCTATCCCTCATGCCACGTATGCACCGTTAATGTTTTAGCATTGAAGATGCTCTAAGGGAAGGCTATGCAGTGTTGAAGTGTATGTCAAATGTTTAATACGGAGTATTTGCTTTTGATTCTTAGGATAACCCCAACCGTCAATAAATCAAATTTCCTACCAATTTATACGTATTTACGTTGTCAATTTAGTTTTTACTCCAATCCAGCACCGTCAATATATACAATTATCAATTTTTTCTTTAATTAATGTCTTCCTTTTACAATTATAAATCAATTTTATGTTTATTCTTCTTTTGCGAATAATTATGATTTTAAAAATCGAACATTTCAATGTTAAAATAAAATTTGGAATTTAATTTTGTTTTCGTTAATTTATAACTATTTTCGAGAAAAAAATTTGAAATGTGTAAAATATTATTTTAATTATAAGGTCTTAATTTTAGCACTTGCATCTACTTAATAAAAATTTTGAACATAAAATCTTCAACAGATGAAACTTTATATTTTTATTTGTTAATTTTCATATATACAATATTGATGTCATATGAAAGGTAATAAAAAATTATAAGTTCTGATATACTCCCTCCGTCCCTAAATAAACTTCCATTTCGCTTTTCGAGAGTCAACTTAAATCACACTTAAACTCTTATTTTATATATAAAAAATTTATGAAAATTGAATTATTTTTTGCAGGCTTTGTAGCGGGTTTAATATAGTTTCTGAATATGTAAATTTTATTTACTAAAAATAATCCGAGTTTTCACAGGGATCATTTAACTTTATCGCTGGTCAAACTTCGTAACCCGTAATTGGAAGTTTTATTAGGGACGGAGGTAGTACTTTTTAGCAAAATTGAAATACTAATTAAAAAATTATAATCTATTTAAGATATTTGGGATTTGTTTATTTCACTTACCCACATTTGTTAGAATGCCATGATGGAACTGCAGCACCTTTCTCTCTCCGTGAATGAGGCTGGCAATTCCCACTAGATACGTGCTATATAACCAGGGTTGGCACGCATGAATAAGTGGATTGCAGTAAATATGGGAGTGAAAGAATCATATTTGTCTATTCTCTTACACACTCTTACAATTGTGTCCTATTTTTAATCTCACAAATTTTATGTGTAGGACCTATATATCTCATATTTATTTTCATTTTAATCTTTGTATATATCACTTCTAACCCACTTTTCATACACTTTTGCTCATCGATTCTCGTGTAAAGTCTATTTGTGGACATTGTCATAGACATTGTCTACAATTTACTCCTATCTCTTTCTTCCTTTTCATTTTTTCATACACACCACTTTCTTCACATTAAATTAAAATAATATCATATCTTTATCTTTATTCTATGTCACGTAGGATAGACTTTACTCCAATCCACTACCCCATTGGAGATGCTCTTAGTCTTTTATTTTTTGAAATATAGCAAAAGTCATATACTCACTGTACCAAAATTAACTTTAGGGTTTGACTTCACAGGTTTTTAAGCAGGAAACACATAAAATGACTTTTCAAAAATATCCTTACGTAGTAAACAAAGGTAGTGATCCAAATTAATTAAGTAAACAGTAAAAGTAAGTGGCAAATGAGTACTTTCAAAGTAAAAACTGATCAAAAGTAGAAATAAATAAATAGGAAGTTAATTTTGGAACATTTGAAATACGAAAAATGGAAGTTAATTTTTTAAGGGAGGAGGAACTATAGTTTGAGAAGTTTGAAAAGGGAGACGCTAAAGCAACCAAAGAGTGGAGAGAGGCATACTTGGTTGTAAGAATGCATGTACACTTCTAAGGAAAGCATGTACGCAGAAGGAATTAGACTTGGGACTACATCTTTAATGTTAAGTTGAAGTTCACTTCTAAGTGTTGGAAAATATTCCATTTAAATGCCCTTGGACCATTTATATAATTTAACATATATTGGGGACATTTATGTCTTACCTTTAAGTTTGCCATATGACAGATTTGGTCTCTGTATTTATGTATAGTTAACATATGATGGATATGTTTTAACATTAAATAATACATAAGGGACCAAAAGGGTTTCTCTTTGATACAACATAAAAACACACGCACGCTCGTTCCATTCTTACGACAAATGAGAAGAGGCGTGTCTCCTCCCAAAGGTCTCAACAACACCTATAATAAGAGACCCAAGGGAGACTTAACAATCCATCAAATTGTAGTTCGTATCCTTAGAGAATCTAAACATCATGGCTTCATCATCTTCTACGGCACCATCAACGTTCGGTTTCTCCTCACCCGGTTAGCGTTCTTATGTACTTGATTCTTTGAATTTTATCATGTTTGTGGGATTAGATCCTTAATTGGGACTGAATTAATCAACATTTGGTATCAAAGCACGTTAATTCTCACTTAACTTGGTAAAATTCGAAGTTTACGATCTGCCTAAATTATACGGAGTATATTGGTTTTGCCGATTATACTTTCTGATCAAAATCGTTTTCCGGATTCTGGTTGCCATCGTATTTCTTCTGGATTTCGAACTGAGTGATTTAAATAATTCATATGTTTTGCTGCATCTAAAATCAAGGATGTCATTATGGTGTTGTTATATAAAAAGTGATGTAATGATTCACATATGAATTACGTAGTATATCATTTTGTTTAAACACATTGAAGTGATGTCTTTGTTAATTTCCGTATGAATAACTGTATAAGCCGATTATGTGCAGACAATCTGTTTTCTAGAATTGAAAAGTATGGAACATTTAGATAATGTACATTACATCCAGTTTTGTGTGAATAAATTATCTTCATAAATGTTCTAGACAAATGGCCATTAGAAATTCATGTGAAGTGGAATCATTTGCATTTTGACAAGTGTTGTCACTTAATATGCTATGACTGTGATGATTCCTCAGTATAAGTGCATTCACAACCAATAACATGTATTAATATATAATGCTTTATTCTTCATTTTAAATTAAGTTTTGATATGAATCCTTTTTTCTCCACTTATCATGATAAAGTAAAAGTATTTGAATTTTCTAGTATGTATGAACATGCAGAGTAAAATCTGTCAGAATTGCATATAACTTCACTTGTTTGTTTTTGTTGTTTACGATCATCAACATTAACACACACAAATGATGCACCGGTTTGTTTGTTTTGGACCTAACCAACTTTTCCAGAATATTAGTATCATTCCAAATGCAGGCCATATATGAATTATGGATTACAAATGATCTTAGTGTCAAATTCAATGATCGGCCCAACGGAAGGTCATTGATTTTGACTATCTTAAGCAATTAATTAATTATATGAGTTTTCTTTTAACAAACCCAAAGGTGTGTTATTTGATAACTTATGTAATGAAATTTAAGCATAAAAAAATGTGTTATATTTCTGCCCAAAGGTGATATATGACATATTTTGCAGCCTAATTTTAATTTTAATATCACAATGTTTGATAGTTAGCATTAGCCAACGCAATGTTAGTTATTAAACACGATATGAACTTTTCCTATTATTTGGTGTTGATAATAGGCTTATTTACTAATAATTGACATTCATTATTGTATTCCCTTATATATATTATGAATAGCTTCTATTATTGCCTCTCATACAACTTTTATTTCAGCATCTACTTTTACCCCGTACAATTATGGGATGGAACCTTTAAATGGTACAAATTTTTCAACATGGAGAGAATCTATAAAACTCTCACTTGGCATGATGGACCTCGATCAAGCACTGAGAATGGATCCACCAGGTGCTCCTAATGATGAAAGCACCGTGGAACAGAAGCGTTCTTATGAACAGTGGGAGAGGTCCAACCGAATGTGCCTCATGGTGATTAAGAATTCCATATCTGTAGCTATTCGTGGAGCCATTCCCGACTCTGAAAATGCGAAGACCTACCTAGAATATGTGGAAGAACACTTTAAGGGCACATCTAAAGCACATGCTAGTACCCTGATTCTAAAAATGTTGACTAATAAGTACGATGGAGTGAGTGGTATTCGTGAGCACATCATGAAAATGTCTGATATGTCCAACAAACTCAAAAGTATGGACATGGAGATCAGTGAAGGTTTTCTCGTTCATTTCATAATGACTTCTCTACCTGCGTCTTATGGTCCGTTCAAGATAAATTACAACACGCAGAAAGAGAAGTGGACCATGAGTGAGTTAATTGCTATGTGCGTTCAAGAAGAAGAGCGCCTAAAAGTTGAAAAACCAGATGTTGCTCATCTTACCATCACAAACTCAAGAAAAAGGAAAGCCAACCGTCAAGGAGGAGGAAAAGGTAGCACTTCTAAGACCCCAAAGATAGGTGCAAGCGTGAACTCCGGTCCCTACTGTAAGTTTTGCCGTGTCAAAGGGCATTACCAGAGGGAGTGCCCTAAGTTTAAGGCATGGCTGACTAAGAAAGGTAACTTAACCACTTATGTAATTTATGAGTCATTGAACACATCAGTTCCCCTTAATACTTGGTGGATTGACTCTGGTTCAATGGTTCATGTTTCAAACACACTGCAGGGATTCCATTCAATCCGGACATTGGGAAGAAAGCAAAGAGTGATTAAGGTGGGCAACGGAGAAGAATTAGAAGTGGAGGCCATTGGAACTATCTCATTAATTTTAGAGAATGGCTTCATTCTTCATCTTCATGATGCTCTTTATGTACCTAATATTACTCGTAATTTAGTGTCTGTATCGAAACTAAGTGCTGATGGTTTTACATTTAATTTCGTATACAATAAAGTGACAATAAGCTTGAACTCAAATGTAATAGGATTTGGTAGCATGGAGGGAAACCTCTATAAGTTATGCTTAGACACTAATTTTATGGAATCCCCATTGTCATTTAATATAACTGAAAATCCTTACAAGAGAAAGAGAGAATTGGAATCGTCGTCCAATTTATGGCATCAAAGGTTGGGCCACATATCACGAGATCGAATGATAAGACTCGTGAAAGATGGCATTCTTTCAAGTCTTGACTTCTCGGATTATGACAAATGTGTGAAGTGTTTGAAAGGGAAATTATCTAAGAAAACTAAGAAAGGCGCCACACGAAGCACCGGTTTGTTAGAATTAATACACACCGATATTTGTGGGCCTTTTCCCGATTCCATTAGTGGTCATAACTCCTTTATTACTTTCATAGATGATTACTCACGCTACATGTACCTATATTTCATTAAGGAAAATCCGAATCACTAGAAATGTTCAAGGCTTATAAAGCCGAAGTTGAAAATCAACTTGATCGAAAGATCAAAGTAGTGAGATCGGATAGGGGTGGAGAGTTCTATGGTCGACACACTGATATTGGGCAAGCTCCCGGCTCTTTCCATGAATTTTGTAAAGATCACGGGATCATCAACCAATATACCATGCTCGGCACCCCTCAACAAAATGGGGTTGCCGAAAGGCGGAATAGGACTCTTATGGATATGGTTCGAAGTATGTTGGCTAACTCAAATCTTCCCCAATTTTTATGGACCGAGGCCCTTAAAACAGCAACCCACATATTGAATAGAGTTCCATCTAAATCTGTTCCTAAAACTCCATATGAGTTATGGACGGGAAGGAAACCTAGTCTATGGTATCTAAAAGTGTGGGGTTGTCCGGCTGAAGCAAAAGTGTATAATCCTCAATTGAAGAAACTTGACATGAGAACTATTAGTTGTTCCTTTATTGGTTATCCCGAGAGATCTAAGGGATACAGGTTCTATTGCCCATCTCATACTACCCGGATTGTCGAGACCCGACATGCTGAATTCCTTGAGAATACTAACATTAGTGGGAGTGGTAATGGTTCAAACATTAATGATAAACTTCAAGAAGGTGCTGGAATGAATCCACTTATTATATTGCCCATTCCACCTAACTCTTCATTTGAAGATCATAGTGAAAATCATACGCCTCATAATAATGATGCAACAAGTCAAGAGGCGAATGAAACTCCAATAAATGTTGAACCAACTCCACCTGTTTCTAATGAAATTCTAGAAAATCAGCAATCCCTAAGGAGATCTCAAAGGGTGAGACGCCCCATAAATTTTGACGAATATTTGATATATTTAAATGAAGAAGCCGACTTTGATTTAGGGAAAGTCGTAGATCCTATATCTTTCCATGATGCCATTAATTGTGACCAATCGATTCATTGGAAAGAAGCCATGAATGAAGAACTTCTTTCCATGGAGAAGAACAATGTTTGGGAACTTGTTGAATTACCAAAGGGTCATAAGCCCGTTGGGAGCAAGTGGGTCTTTAAAACTAAATTAGATCCAAATGGGAACATTGAAAGATACAAAGCAAGATTGGTTGCTAAGGGCTACACTCAAAGGGAAGGTGTAGATTATCAAGAGACCTTTTCACCTGTCTCTCGAAAGGACTCCCTAAGGGTCGTTATGGCTTTAGTAGCTCACTTTGATCTTGAGCTACATCAAATGGACGTCAAAACAGCCTTCTTAAATGGAGATTTACACGAAGATGTTTATATGATACAATACAACCAGAAGGTTATATTTCTAAGGGTCAAGAACATCTAGTGTGTAAACTCAAGAAGTCTATTTATGGGCTCAAGCAAGCGTCTCGACAATGGTACCTCAAATTTGATGAAGTCATGAAATCAAATGGCTTCATTAAAAACAAAGTAGATCAATGCACTTATCTCAAAATGAGTGGGAGCAAATTCATCATACTTGTGTTATATGTTGATGATATCTTATTAGCAAGTAGTGATCTGGATTTATTGCATGAAACAAAACGCTTATTATTTGGCCATTTTGACATGAAAGATCTAGGTGAAGCTTCTTATGTTATAGGCATTGAAATTCACCGAGATCGAGTCAAAGGGACGTTAGGTTTGTCCCAAAAGGCATACATCGAGCATATTTTAGAACGTTTTAACATGCAACAATGCTCTCCATCAGTTCCTCCAGTAGTTAAGGGAGACGTTTTTGGGTCATTCCAATGCCCAAAAACCGAGGTTGAGAAAGAGCAAATGAAACTCATTCCTTATGCTTCTGTAGTTGGAAGCCTGATGTATGCTCAAGTTTGTACTCGTCCAGATATCGCATATGTATCCGGCATGTTGGGTAGATATCAATCTAACCCAGGATTAGATCATTGGAAAGCCGCTAAGAAAGTTTTGCGGTATCTTCAAGGGACTAAGGAGTACAAACTTACTTACCAGAGGTCTAATAATTTAGAAGTGGTGGGATATTCCGATTCTGACTTTGCTAAGTGCAAAGACGATAGGAAGTCTACTTCGGGATACATTTTCTTACTGTCAGGTGGGCCAATATCTTGGAAAAGCCACAAGCAAAGACTTACGACTACTTCAACAATGATGGCTGAATATGTTGCGGTGTACAACGCAACGTGTCATGGGATGTTGCTAAGGAATCTTATCAAAGGATTCAAAGTAGTAAATTCTGTCTCAAGACCACTAAGGATTTATTGTGACAATTCCGCGGCCGTGAGCTTCTCAAACAATAACAGTTCGAGTGGAGCGGGATTGTTCCTCGATACAAAGTATTTGTTCGTTTGAGAAAGAGTGGAGGAAAACGAAATTTGTATCGAACACATTAGCACGAATGATATGCTAGCAGATCCTCTCACTAAAGGACTTTCGCACAATATTTTTCAAAGACGTGTCACTAATATGGGCTTGATGAAAGATCCTATTTAGGAAATTATAGCGCAGTGCCTGAATAACTCTCTTATGTATTAATTTCAAGTACTTGATTTAAAATTCCTCCATAAGTATGTTTTTGTCTATTCTTCATTGTGCACACAAAGTTATTTTAATAGACAAACATAATACCCTAAGTTTAATGTCATTTGGCTTATATTAATCCTTATACTCTTTAAGAAGTGTCAAAGTATGATTAATGGGGTCCCGGGTTATATTGATCCGTTAGAATGTATTAGTTTGCTTTGATATTATTATGGAGTAAGATGAATTTTCTTGGCCAAAACTTATTTTAACTTATGTATAAATGATCTCAAGGTCAAGTGGGAGTGTTGGAAAATATTCCATTTAAATGCCCTTGGACCATTTATATAATTTAACATATATTGGGGACATTTATGTCTTACCTTTAAGTTTGCCATATGACAGATTTGGTCTCTGTATTTATGTATAGTTAACATATGATGGATATGTTTTAACATTAAATAATACATAAGGGACCAAAAGGGTTTCTCTTTGATACAACATAAAAACACACGCACGCTCGTTCCATTCTTACGACAAATGAGAAGAGGCGTGTCTCCTCCCAAAGGTCTCAACAACACCTATAATAAGAGACCCAAGGGAGACTTAACAATCCATCAAATTGTAGTTCGTATCCTTAGAGAATCTAAACATCATGGCTTCATCATCTTCTACGGCACCATCAACGTTCGGTTTCTCCTCACCCGGTTAGCGTTCTTATGTACTTGATTCTTTGAATTTTATCATGTTTGTGGGATTAGATCCTTAATTGGGACTGAATTAATCAACACTAAGAACATCTTTAATGGGAGAATGAATTACTTAAAAATGCATTGCCATATCAAATTAATATATTTGGAGGTAAATTTAATCCCTCTAACGGAAATGTGTATTTATCCCGTGTGCTGAGCTGGAATGGAAAAAAACGCACACCCTCTACTCCCCTCTCTCTACTTTCAGCAAGCCTCTTGAAACCTCTGACTCAGCCAAAAGGAAATTCTGGCTGGCAATTGAAAAGTTTTCCGCCAAATCTCAAACTCCTTTCTCATACGAGCTTCTTCGCAACTGCTCTTCGCATCTGCGTGAAATCTGAAGTCTTCCAGGTATTTTTTTGACCTCCCTTGGATTGAATTATGAGTGATGACAAATTGGAATCTATACTTAATACTTGTACTAAATTAATCGGATGAATTTTATGAAAAAGAGTTACATGATATGAAAACTCTAAGAATGATCTGGAACAAAATTCATAAACAATGAGAATTATACATGGCTATGAAACTTGTGTAGATTTCGTGCCATTTTAGAGTTCTATTTTGAAAAGAAAAAAAAAACTCTCTTCCGCATTGATAAGGATGAAATTTGGTCTACAACACCGAAGCAGTACTACAATCTATCCCACTTTCGTGTGAGAAAACTGAAAAAGGTGAAAATCGAAAAATCACATCGGAAAACTGTAATTGAATAAAATCATCATGATATCTAGTTTGATTTTGGATTTCGAAATAATATAATATAATTCAAATTTTTGAACCGGTTAAAAATCAGATTATTATCATCTGAACCGGACTGAACCAGTTTTACTATATTACATGTCTAGATTATTAAGATTTTATAACCTAAAACATTAAGATCTAGGTAAATGCTTTTTATTTACTTAGTTTATTTCGTATTGACAATAATACATAACGTGTAGCATGTGATTAATTGTGTTATGTTTTGTTAAATTTTGTGAAGCTAATGAGCTACACATTCGTTGAACCAATTGCGAAACTAATACTTTGTATTAATTATTTCATTACATTATTACTATGATTATATTAGAAGATCTTTTCATTCTAATACAAAAGACTAATGAGAAAAGTCATGCATAAAGCAATATAAAAATATAAAATAAACCACAATCTAATAAGGAATGTAGTACGTAGTAATTGTTTTTTTTATCATACGTAGTAATTGTTTTTAACATCAAAACCAACAACTCCATTAATCAAGGAAATCGTTTGTCAATTAGCTTACAATCGAAAGAGGTATTCCGACAAAACAACTTCTGACAACCGCCATCTCTTGAACCAGACTCAGAGTTTATCGCCTTATCAATATAACTCGTTGATCCATTAATGGGCACAAATGAGCCAAAGACGGTTGCCG